TCAATTTGACCTCTCTTTTTTAAGTATTTGACCCTTTTATTATTTTTTTTAATTAAAAAATGGTACGAATGTCAATTTTATTTTCAATCATTGTAACCGTCCGACCTTTCAAATCTATCAAAGGTTCTCATAAAACAAACATGTTTGTAGGTAAAAATTTCGAGATTCTTAATATAACATAAGTTAATTTGTTTTACATTTATTCCTTAAGAATGACCCTTTGATTGATTGATTGATTGATAGGCGTGGTCATTACAAACACCTCTAGTACATAGTATTATCTCATATTGAAAGATGACCAACAATATCATCATCGTTAGAAATATAAATGAATACTTAGCAGTATCTATCCCGTGCTAAAAGGTGACCACAATATCATTATGGGTAGGAATATAAATAAGTAGATAGTACTATCTTGACGATCAAACAATCAAAACTGTCAATGATCTAGAGACATTCACGAGCCCTACTCAACGTGCAATATGTTGCTATTGCTCGACGTAGAAATTGACCTAAAAGCTAAAAGCTTATAATATAAATACACTTTCAAAGCGGATTCTACAAAGAACAAAGTTTTGACGACAGAGATCATCTTCGACCGTTTTAACGTATTACAGAGAATGTGTCCTTTACATATCCATGTGCAGACATCTGTGCCCCACGTGCGATATGCCTCAGCTCTTTCAACATATTTTCTCTTTAACTTTCACGGTTTTGCCAAAAAAAAAAAAAAAAAAAAAAAAAAACAGAAAATTTGTGGAAATACCAAAAGATTGAAAAGATTCTCACTTCATGAAGATATTTTTATTCAATTTGTGAGATAAGTTTGAAGAATATTATAACTATAAAGCACGGAGTCGCCTAGTAGTCTAAAAAATCGTTAAAATACATACAACTTATTGGTAATTGACATATACTCATTCTTCTAATCTCGGAAGTTCAATCGTCGATAAAGTTTGAATATATAATAAATGGTTTAGAGGGAATGATCTTAAACGTCACGTACCTAGAATTTAGAACTTATACATCGAAGATCATGGGTCACACTATCTCTATTAGTACGAGACATTTTAGGGAAACTAAAACTATAACCATGAGAGGTTATGTTTTGTAACAGCCCAAGCACACAACTAGCAGATTGTAACGATCTAGGCTCACCGCTAACCGATATTGTCCTCTTTGAGCTTTCTCTTTCGAACTTGCCCTCAATGTTTTTAAAGGGAGAGGTTTTCACACTCTTATAAAGGATGTTTCGTTCTCCTCCAATCCGAGGTAGGATATCACATAACTACTGTTAAGGATATTTAATAATAAATTATTGTTTACCATATATATTATATTTGATATTTTATTATAAGGCAAATATTAGATATTTGCCTTATTATAGTATCTTTCTATTTATTTTATTTCCATTTATTACTATTTCCATATCCTTGTAATTCATTTGATTATAAATAAGATAACTTTCACACCATTTAGGTGTGGTGGATTAATCAAACATTCACATGGTATCAGAGCCCTCTCGGTTTAACAACCCCGATCCTTTCTTTTCAATGGCTTTTGAATTCTCTAATCTTCTTCTCCACCACCCCTGCTGGTTTTGACGCTGCAGGGGCAGTCTTCATGGCTGCCGTAGTCGAAGCCGATTGATTACTCTTCGGCTCCACCCTATTGACCTCCAAATCACCTTTCGTCATACTCTGTACATACAACCTCACCTTTCCAACCCAATCGGTTTTCCCCTTGGCCAATATAGTCTCTCTCATTTTCTTCCCAATTCATCCTTCACATAAACCCTAACCTAAACCTATCAACCTTTTGCAGAGATTTACCTTCGGAATCTGGGTGCCGCACTGGCCTATTCGCCAACCAAGTTGCCGCCGCCCTTCCTGCCAAAATTGGCTTCTTCGCCCGATGAGGCGACTCTTCCGACTGCCCTTCTCGCCAAAATTGGCTCCTTCGCCCAATGTGGCGACTCTTCCAGCTTCAACATTTTCTTTGTCCCTTGCTCTAGGTTTCCCCTTCTACTTCTTGGGGTTAGAAATATTCTCACCAGAGCCAAGGCAGCATCGTCGCTAAGCGACAATCCCTCTTCATGGGTTAACATATTCTCGCCGAAGCCAAGGCAGCATCGCCGCTGAGCGGCGATCCCTCTGCAATTTTTGATGACCAAGAATCGGGTTGTTAGCATCTTCATGAAAAGTGTTTCTCAACCTCTTTGAATTTTTCAGATTCAAGCTTCACGTTCGTTTAAATCCGACGCTTAGCTTGCGGTGGGGTGTTAAGGATATTTAATAATAAATTATTGTTTACCATATATATTATATTTGATATTTTATTATAAGGCAAATATTAGATATTTGCCTTATTATAGTATCTTTCTATTTATTTTATTTCCATTTATTACTATTTCCATATCCTTGTAATTCATTTGATTATAAATAAGATAACTTTCACACCATTTAGGTGTGGTGGATTAATCAAACATTCACAACTACTATCTACTTTGGCTCATTATATATCGCCATGAGCCTCATGGTTGTAAAACGTGTTTACTAGAGAGAGAGAGATTTTCACCCAACTTATAAAGAATGTTTTGTTCCTATGTCCAACCGATGTGAATTATTCTTATCTCATTGGCCAAAAAAAACCAAAAAAACCAGCGGCCATGAGAGAGAGAGAGAGAGTACTTCACTTCAATGATCATCATCATGTGTGTTTCAATTTCAAATCCTGTCCCTGCAACCAGCTGCCCGCCGCCGCCACCGGAATTACTTCAGTTTTTCGATGTCTTTCCTAAAAAGAAGAGTCAACAATCATTTTCATGTCCGACGCTGACCGGTCTGTCAGAGATTATAACCGAAACCAAATCTCTGTTCTCATTAGCTTTTCCGATTGCTCTAACGGCTCTCATAATTTACTCCCGTTCAATCATTTCCATGCTTTTTCTCGGCCGGCTCGGTGACATTGAACTCGCCGCCGGTTCACTGGCCATCGCTTTTGTTAAGGATATTTAGTAATAAATTATAGTTTACCATATATATTATATTTGATATTTTATTATAAGACAAATATCTAATATTTGTCTTATTATATCTTTCCATTTATTGTTATTTCTATTTATTACTATTTCCATATCCTTGTAATTTATTTGATTATAAATAAGATAACTTTCACACGATTTAAATGTGGTGGATTAATCAAACATTCACAGCTTTCGCTAATATTACCGGTTACTCTGTTCTCTCCGGTTTGGCTTTAGGGATGGAGCCACTCTGTTCCCAAGCGTTTGGAGCCCACCGTCCGAACCCCTTTCTTTAACTCTTCACCGTGCGGTTATTTTTCTTCTTGTTTCTTCTTTACCCATTTCTTTACTGTGGGTAAAAATGGGTAAAATCCTCCTCTTCCTCCGCCAAGATCCGAGCATCACAGTCATGGCACAGACTTATTTGATTTTCTCGCTCTCCGACCTTGTCACCAATTCTTTCATTAATCCAATCAGAATTTACCTTCGCGCTCAGAGCATCACCGTCCCGCTCACTTTAGCGTCGCTAGGCGGGGCTCTCTGTCACGTGCCAATCAATTTCCTGTTGGTTAGTTATTTCGAATTTGGAGTAGCCGGCGTGGCGGCATCGGCGGCGGCTACGAATTTTTTGATGTTGGTTTTTTTGGTGGTCTACGTCGTCGTTTCGAGGGTTCACGTTCCGACATGGACGGCGCCGAGCCGGGAATGTTTGAGCGGTTGGAAGCCGCTCTTGGAGCTAGCCGCGCCGAGCTGTGTATTGGTTTGTTTGGAGTGGTGGTGGTACGAGATTATGATCGTGTTGTGTGGGCTTCTTGTGGACCCCAAAGCGACCGTTGCTTCGATGGGTGTTTTGATCCAAACGACGTGTTGATTTATATTTTTCCATCGTCTCTTGGTTTTGCTGTTTCCACGCGCGTTGGAAACGAGCTTGGCGGCGGCCGGTCAGAGAAGGCGAAACTCTCTGCCGTGGTAGCGGTGTTTGTGGCGGCGATGATGGGGTTGGGAGCGACGTCGTTTGCGACGGGGATGAGGAATAAGTGGGCCAGGATGTTTACCGACGACGCCGAGATTCTCCGGCTGACGGCCGTGGCTCTTCCTATTTTGGGGCTGTGTGAGCTCGGAAACTGCCCGCAGACGGTAGGATGCGGCGTTCTGAGAGGGAGCGCGCAGCCATCAGCGGCAGCGAATATAAACCTCGGCGCATTTGACGGAGTGGGCATGCCGGTGGCGGTTGGGCTTGCTTTCAGTTTAGGGGTTGGGTTTTGTGGGCTTTAGTTGGGCCTCTTGTCGGCCCAAGTTTGATGTACTGGGCTTATGTTGTATGTGGTCGGCACCACTGACGGGGAGTTTCAAGCTTGTAGGTCCCATGTGCTGACGTGTACAGTGGGTGGCCCATATATAATTCTTCCTAATTGACCCCTTTTCTTTTTCCTTTTATTTTATTTATCTAATCCCATCATATTATTAAAAAAAAAAAAAAAAAAACTATTTTAAATTTATTAATCTGTAATATTTGTTAATAATATTGACAATTTTTTTTTAATACGATATGATATGAAAACCTTAACCAATTTGGATCAAATAACTAATTTCATATTTTATGATTATAATGTAAACTAAAAAATTTTAAAACAAAAAAATACATTAATAAAATATCATAAATCTAGATTTAAATAATTCAATACAAAATTTATAATCATTTACCAAAATTTAAGTATCTATATTCATCCTAAGAATTGCTTTCCTTCCTTTTATTGGGCTTCGGCAGGGTAATTCTACATGGGCTGTAGAGGAAGTTGGGTCCATGGGCCTTTCTATTTCAGCCCAATATACGTTTTTTAATTAAATAGTTTCAAATATTGTATTTATAGCTATACGCGCGTATCGGATTTTCTTATGACTGAAATACCCCTAATAGAATTATAAGTTTTTATGGGCCTGACCCAAGCTAATCTTGTTGTATTCGTTCGTTAAAATGCTCCACTGGGCTCTTATCGAAAGGAACGGAAAGTTTCGAAGCCGCGAAACCACCGGGAAATTATGGCGCCGTCGTCTCAGATCAAGCGGCGGAAAACCCATCATACGCCATTGCGCCGGTAATTCTTGCATCTCCATTACGGCCACCGCTTCGTTTAAGTGGACAATCTCATCTCTGTTAGTTTCATTTTGTTTTCCTTTTGCTGTGAGTTGTTAATGTTGAAGCACCACGGATGCGGGGTTTAAAATTTTGATGGTTTGAGAGATTACGACATAGATGTTTGTTACTGCTGATGGTTTGATAGACAATTTCGGTAACTGATTTTGATTTTAAGGTGTTTCAATTTTTTAGGTTTCCAAGCTTTGTTTCTGTTAGATTGAGAAATGGAATTTGCGATGGTTTTGGAGGATTGAATGAAATTATCGATTAAGGGATTTTAATTCAAGTTGATTTTGATGTTTTTATTTTTGGATGATTATCGAAACTTCTGGATTTGATTTCATCTTGCTCATTGATCTTTTCGACGATGAAATAAATACAAAAGAACAGCGGCATTTTGTAGCAGGATTTAATGATTCTGAGATGAGTTCATTCCTAAAATGCTCCTATTGCAGAACTTTATCTTCAGCTGTTGTTTAGAGAGGAGTTTCAACATCAACCAAAGGCTCAACTGTGAGATTTTTCTCTCTTTGGTTTTGTTTTCGTAGTAAACTCCCATGGTTATTTATCAAACTTCAGTTTGCTTATGAGGATTTTGAATTTGCACAGTGGGATTGAATTTAGGATCCAACAGGCCAAGCAAGATGGTAGCACAGGTAATTATAAGATCCTTTATTCCTCATTTTGAAATTTTCTTTTGCCTGTTACTCTTTCTCCTGCTGAATTCATTGAATAATAGTTTCGAATCTGGTACTGCTTCTTTTGGTCTTAGAAGCATTCGAGATGAAAAAGATTAGAGAGTTGGGTGCCCCAAGCAAAGAAACATGGCCATTTCTTATCTTACTGAACAACCTTTGTGTCCAAAAAGGAAGCCTTATATTCTAAGAACACTCTCTCTGAAAGAGTTGGCACCCTGTAATTAAAGGAAACATTACCCGATTAGCACAAGTAAAACATATCTTTTTTCTAACAACAAATACATGGTTTATGTCTGAGATAATAAACCTTATTTAGTTGAGTTATAATCAATTTCTAACTTTTATTAATACTCACTCTAAATGTCTAATTTCATCAAATTGTACTACAAGCTTGCAATTTTGATTTCAAGTTTGATAAAATGTTGTAATTTTATTCTCAAATAAATTTTTGTTTAAAAATTTGTAAATGAAAAAAATGTTTTCACTTCTTGTCCATGCAGTATAAATGATATGGTATAATATGTATGTATGATACAAAATTGATAAGATTTTAAATAAATATTATATTATGCTTAAACTTTGTTGAAATTAGTGAGTTTATGGATTAAAGTTAGTGAATTGGAAAAAAAAAAAAAATGTTTAACAGTTTCCTTGGGACAATGAATTCTCATTTTGGAAGTCCAATAATGGGCAGGGTGCTTTTAGATGCGATTGAAATTTTAAACTTTTACTGTTGCATGATCTTTTCTCAAGACACCCCAAATCATATCCAAACAAATAACTCTTTTTATTTAAAAATATTACACTGATTAATAAATCAACAGATTCAAAACCAGATAGGGTTTTTTTTGAAAAAAAATAAGAACTAATTTAGGAAATATTTCCTGAGCGGCCATTTTTTTTAAATCCATCCAATTTATTTACAACTTAGAGTAAAAATTAAATGAGTAATTTTAAAATATGAATAAATGTGACCGTTTTCAATTATTTTCCTTCCCTCTTAAATTATGGTGAGGAGTCAATGATTTTAGAATTTAATCCACCAGGTTTTTGTCAGAATATTTTGGAGTCTTAATAATATAATGTTTTTAGTTTGATCATTTGGGTGGGAGATTGAACCAAACTTTTTTTATATTGTGTTTGATTTTTGGGCTTATAAATAATGGTTGAAAATTATTATTAATAAAACTTCCATAGATTTGAATCTACCTAACATGTTGTTCTTTTAACCCATGAAATTAACAAGTTTCTTTCGTTGAATTAAAGTTTCTAATTTTAATTTTAGAGAGAGAATTCCGTAACGGAGTCTTGTTCTTATCTAAAATAAAAGGACTAAAAAAGCATCAAAATTGAAATCTATATCAAGTTTAATTCAACATAAGAAAAGTTGAAAGCTGGATACAAAAAAGGTGCTTGTTGGTGCTCATAATTTACCAAGTTGTTGGTGCTTATAATTTACCAAGTTGAAATCTAATAGAACATAAGGATTTGCATGTACGTAAACAAACTAATTTTCCCCCCACGGAAATGGTTGAATGATTAATATCTCTTAACAGGGCTTTTGTTAGGTGTTGATTTCACCGAGAAAAATGTCGATTTTACTGGAAATTCGCTCAAATTCTTTGGGTTTCCTTCTAAATCACCAACTTTACTATTTTCTTTTTCAAAAATACCTTTTTCCTCCATTTTTATTAATTCCCATAATCGCAAATTCATCACAGGCACCTACAAGACTATAAACTGATAGAACGCTTTTTGATGAATCTAGAATTTCCCTGATCGAGAAATAGGAGTGGCAAAGTTTGCGGCTTTTGCCTTCGAGCCTGACCTTCTCATTTTTGGGTTGTTTCCGTTCATTGTCAATGGGTAGGGTTGCGGTGGGCGTGGCGGTGGTCAGTGCTGCGGCGGTTTGCGCGGTGGCGGCGCTGGTGGTGCGCCACCATATGAAAAACTCCGGCAAGTGGGCTCGAGCAATGGCCATTCTGAGAGAGTTCGAGGAAAAGTGTGGAACCCCTATTGCGAAACTCAGGCAGGTGGCCGACGCCATGACCGTTGAGATGCACGCCGGTCTCGCATCCGAAGGCGGCAGCAAGCTCAAGATGTTGATCAGCTATGTGGATAATCTCCCAACCGGGTAATGCGAATTATACTTTACTCAACCCCTTTTGATTTCCTTCTGAATTTTATTAGATCTATTTGTTAGTGGTGTTTGTTGGAGAAATTTTAAGATAATGAAGCCTTTTACCTGATGAAACAAGTTCGAATTTATGAATATTTTTCTCATTTCGTTGTGAACTTATTGTTTTTTAAGCCCATGCAGTGGCTTAAAAGACGACGAAACATTTTTCTTTGTTGTTTTGTCTGTATTTGAGGTTCTTTCTGTGATCTGGAGAGTTTGAAGAATCTGATTTTTTTCATGTACGAACATGCAGTCTTTTCCTAGATCTATCTTGATGTTTTTAATATAATATTCATGGTGTTTATTTTAATTGTTGATCTGTTGGATTTAACATTAATTCTTGCATTTTGTTACTATACCCCTTTTAGTTAATTTTGTTTTTTTAATTTCTCTCGGTTTCAAATCTCGATTGGTTTTCCCTTGAAGTTATCTCAATGGATTCGTTTTACTTATAATCGTAATTGGATATCCTCACTACAAATTCCAAATGCAAAGTTACTGGGATTCAAGAAATGTATGGAGTAGTTCCAATCTAATTTGATATGCCATATACTTTTCCATGGATGATATCTTTTAAAATGACAATTTTTCCAAGCTGTGAATTACTTACTTTTCCCTGCAAATTTAGAGATGAAAAAGGGCTCTTCTATGCATTGGATCTTGGCGGTACAAATTTTCGAGTGTTGCGTGTGCAGTTGGGAGGGAAGGACAAGCAAGTTGCTAAGCAAGAATTTGAAGAGGTTTCAATACCTCCACACTTGATGACTGGGTCTTCAGAAGTTAGTATTTTCCTCTTGAATTTTTAGTATGCATTTCCTTAGGATGGAGCTAAGCGGAAGTATCTGGTGCTGGTTCTGGTTCTGTCAGGCTCTATTTGATTTTATAGCTCAAGCACTCGCAAAATTTGTTGGGAAAGAAGGCGAAGGCTATCACCCAGCCCCAGGTAGGCAGAGGGAACTGGGTTTTACTTTCTCCTTCCCTGTGAGACAAACATCAATTTCGTCGGGGACACTTATTAAATGGACGAAAGGATTCAACATTGAAGACACGGTTAACCCTTAATCCTTAAGCTTTGTTATCATCTTTTATGTTGATAGGTTGCCATTCGTTGGACCTTTTAATCTATCATTCGTTGGACCTTTTAATCTATGTAACATTGTCATTTTACTTTGTTCTTAATGTGTAGCATCAAATCCACACAGATGACTGGCATTATCATTCAGAAAAAAAAAAAAAAAAAAAAAAAAAAAGCTGATTAGCTTCATTTAGGGTGTTCTTGTTGAGTTTGCGTCATGTTATATGCCTGAATTACACTCATCCCTGGTATGGAATTATTTGCTACCTAATATTCTGGGATGAACAAAGATAAAGAGATTTTACTCTTGCAGTGCTGGGTTTGGTGAAAAAAGGCTGGACTTCACCGTTGTTAGGAATGATGTGTGCCATGCTGGAGATATAATATTTCTTATTAAATCATATAGGTTATTTTCATTTGAATTATGAGAGGATTGTGGAAACTAAGATAATCAATTAGTTCAATACTTTATTGACTTGTGTAAAATGTCCATGCTTGTTATATGTATTGAAAATGGGGCACATATCATAGAAAAGTAAAACCATCTTCTCATGCTATCGTTATAGATCAGTTAGTTTCTCTTAGGATTGTCACTGGATCATGGATTTAGAATATATACACACACCATACAAAAAAGTTCATCGACATTTAGATAAATCATATTTGATCTTCACTGTTCATTGATTAAACGATTGAATGGATAAGTGCAAATGTACTTCACCAGGAGTTTGCAATGCACCGTGAAACTTTAATTTTTAAGTAATGGATCTTTCTTGAAAGTTGACAATAATTTGGCATACTATTTCAGGTTGGGGAAGATGTGGTGGGTGAATTAACTAGAGCCATGGAAAGGCAGAAACTTGACATGCGTGTAACGGCTTTGGTAATTCGATAGTTCAAGTTTTTTCCTACTTTTCCCTTTTCCAATGCTGATGCTCGATGTTCAGTTTGCACTATGATTGCATACTTTCATATTTCTGTGTGAGTTGATGAAGGGGGGTGTGGGTTTGTGTATGTGACTTTCTCCTTTCTGAGGTATAGGTAAATGACACAATTGGAACGTTAGCAGGAGGTAGATACCATCATAATGGCGTAATTGCTGCTGTGATTTTGGGCACTGGAACAAATGCAGCTTATGTAGAGCGTGTCCATGCTATTCCCAAGTGGCATGGGCTACTTCCTATGTCAGGAGAAATGGTTAGTGGATTGTGAGTTTTGTTATTTGTTTTTTGATTGTAATAATTTTACAGTCCGATGATGTGCATGAATTCATCAATGTATTGATGGTACCTGGGACGTTATATTAATGCAGGTAATTAACATGGAATGGGGTAACTTCCGGTCCTCGCATCTGCCTCTTACAGAATTTGATCAAGCATTGGATACAGAGAGTTTAAACCCTGGAGAACAGGTAAGATCATTCTTTACACAACACCTTCATTTGAGAATTACGCAAAAACAAAAAGGTTTTCAGAATATGCGTTGAATAAACTCCATTTCTACTTGTCAGATTTTTGAGAAGTTGATTTCTGGTATGTACTTGGGAGAAATTGTTCGTAGAGTATTGCTAAAGATGGCTGATGAAGCGGCTCTCTTTGGTGACACTGTTCCACCCAAACTGAAAATTCCATTTATATTGAGGTATACATACACTAACCATCTGTCCCTGATTATATTCGCTTCCTTGTAGATTGATGTTGGCATTTGCATTCTGTAAGTATTCCAAATCTGAAATGATGATTGTTGCTAGTTTCTGTTTCAGCCTGCACTTGCTATAACCAATACTTATTGCTGCCCTCGCTGTTTGTGGCTGATTGTGGAGATCTGAAACTAATTCTTCAAACCTGAACCTTAAATTTCTTCCCTCATAAATGGTTTAATTGTATTATGGGTCTTCATGTATGGCTTGTGTTAATGAACTTGGCTGTTAGGGTAAACTTCAGATTTGAATGGACTGTCTAAAAAGTTATCCCGTAGTGCCATTTTAGTTTAGTCTCGAAATTCTATTTGAACTTGCAAAAGTAACTTTTGGCCGCTCCAAAAATGTGCAGGACTCCCCACATGTCTGCCATGCATCACGACTCATCGCCTGACCTCAAAGTTGTTGGAAGCAAACTGAAGGATATTTTAGAGGTAGGGTGCTACTTCATAAGATCTCTTTGCGTTTAGTTTAATATATGGAAGTTATGGTGACCATTCATCTAAAATTTAATATCCTACAACTTGCCTTACTTTGACGATCAAATATAGTAACGTACAGTTAGACTATTGTCCTATGCGAATGTTGCATGCTGATCTAAATACTATTGTCCTATGAAAATGGTTAAGATCTGTGCATGCTGATCTAAACACTCACTTATTAACTCGAATGCATAAGGTTTACTCATTATTCTTTTCCTTTTGCTTTGCTTCCAGATACCTAATACCTCCTTGAAAACAAGAAAAATCATAGTGGAGCTCTGTGACGTAGTTGCCACGCGGGGCGCACGCCTATCTGCTGCTGGTATCTTAGGAATCCTGAAGAAACTTGGAAAAGATACTGTCCAGGATGGAGTGAAGCAGCAGTCCGTTGTAGCAATGGATGGAGGGTTGTATGAGCACTACACGAGATTCAGAACCACCATGGAAAGTACACTGAAGGAGCTACTTGGAGATGGGGTAGCTGAAAACATCGTTGTCGAGCATTCAAAGGATGGTTCTGGCATCGGAGCTGCGCTGCTCGCAGCCTCTCACTCTCAATATCTCGAGGCATACGAAACCTAAGGGAAAAGGGTCAAATTGCAGGTAGTATGCTATGTGGAGTGTGGTAGAAGCTTTAGATTTCGTTGAATTTTCTGCTCTCCTTTTCACATTATCTCACTTTCTGATGCCTTAGACCCTAGCTGAAGAGTTCATTCCCAATCCTTTATTTATGGTTATTGAGAGCATATGAAATGCACCAAACCTTAAAAATGTAGCCAAACAAAGGGAGCGTGTCGGAAAACCGACACTAAGATAATTTTTCATGGTTGCTATGCAAATAAAAAGGGCATAAGCATAAGCATAAGCAATGTGGCTGTGCTTCTATTGAATTTGGGTGTTATCAATGCATTCTAACTGTCTTTTCATATTATCTTCTCACACTTGCAATGGTTGTACTAAAAATGAAAAATCTATCGACCGAAACAGAAAAGTTGCCTGATTTGTGAAGAATTTGTGGGGGATTTTTGTTAAATCGATTTGGAGATTTGCATCGGCAATAACCAAGCAATTGATTTCATCGCATTTTGTCGTAAGTTGTAGTGTGAACAAATGGTGTATTTTGTTAGTGTATAGTTCTTAGTGTGAACAAATGGAGTTTTTTATAACCGCCAAAATAAGGTTGTCCACAATTTGATATATCATTAAATAATGTATTATTTGATTCCATCAAACTATACCTAAACATCTTTATTGAATGAAAGTTAGTATGAACAAACCCCACACCAATAAATCACTAGAAATTTGGACATTCTGAAACGATATGTTCAAAAGAAAGAATGAATGAAGAAATAAGATGATTATCCTCTCAGTGTACAGATGCCACCTAACAGTCGCACCAAATTTGGGGAATGAATTTAGAATCGTTTCTGATAGAAAAGCTTCTTCTTCTTCTTCTTCTTCATTGACTATTCCGTTTCCATAATCTTCACATTCTGCGGATGATTCCATCGCACTTTTTTTCTCTCTCTTCTCAGATTGACTTACAGTGGACAGATTCTCTCTCGATCACTCTAATTTGGTCGATTCCTTAATCTGTGGTGTTCGATTTCTATTTCTATTTCCTTCGCTTTCCAATCGATTCCCCTTTCGCTCCAATTTTCTACCACCGTCATGTTCCTCCACCCTCTTTGACTCTCGTTTCCACAGAAATTGCGTGGAATTTGAGTTTTTTGATTTGATCATCTGGTATTGGGAATTGGTTGTTGAGATGAAGATAGTGGAATTGGAAGATGCTGGGACTGATCGGGAAGATGAAATTGGTAGCGGTCAGATTGTGAAGGTGGATGCTAAAAGAGCTTTGGTTGGGGCTGGGGCTCGAATCTTGTTTTACCCTACCCTTTTCTACAACGTTCTTCGTAATAAAATGGAAGCCGAATTTAGATGGTGGGATGAAGTCGATCAGGTTTGATTTCTGCGTTCTTTTACTTGTATGCTCTTGATTTTGCTCCATTCTGATCAATCCATGAATGGATTGTTATGTTCTTGATTGGAGCTGTTTGACTTTCCGGACAAGAAAACTTTAGTCTGTATGATGGATTTGATTGTCTTCAGCCCTCGAGCCTCTACAGAATTCCGCTCGCCCCAGTCCTTAGTAGCATTGACAAAGGAGAACAGTCCCCTGTTGTTGATAGATAGAGAGCTTACCGTCACACCCCTATATCGTTGCGATTGTTGTCATAGAAAAAGAGTTTGTTTTCGGTAAAAAAGCATGCTTATAGTATAACCGTACTCTCTCTACAAGGACATAGGGAACGAGTTACCTATTCTTAATGGCCAAAGCGAACCCAAATCAAATCTAGGATTTGAACCTACAACCAATTGGTTAACCACCAACCACTCTACGACTGAGCTACTGAGCAACAACATTAAATTAGGTCTCATTCTCAACCCCTGACCAATATGAGCTCGAGGACATATATGATCTGTAGCTGGTAGTGATAGCGGAACGAGAGAATCACAAGAATTGTGGATTTGTTTGTATGTGATTATGTAGTTTTTGTTGTAGATTTGTGTCTGTTATTAATGTGAACGAATTTGTTCTTCCTTGCCAGTATCTTCTGCTGGGTGCAGTGCCGTTCCCCAAACACGTGCCGAGATTGAAGAAGCTCGGTGTTGGCGGCGTGATCACTCTCAATGAACCTTATGAAACATTAGTTCCATCTTCCTTGTATTATGTGAGTCCTGAGTTTGTTTGAATATCCATTTGATGCTTCAAAGTTGTACTAATTGAATGTTGTGCAGCGCCATGGAATTGACCACTTACAAATCCCCACCAGAGATTACTGTTTTGCTCCTAAATTTTCTGATATTAGACGTGCTGTGGACTTCATTCACAGTGAGCTACTTTCTTACCTCATTTCTTCCTCTGTTTCTTCCATTATGTGTGCTATACATGTTGTTTGTCTTTAGGAAATGCATCATCTGGTAAAACGACATACGTCCATTGTAAAGCAGGGCGAGGAAGGAGCACGACCGTTGTGCTTTGCTATTTGGTAATCTCATATGTACCCTTCTATGCAGAACCTCTGTATAGTAGTGAGTCGAGATTATGTTGATTTGCTTCTTTATTTTTCAGGTCAAATATAAGCACATGACCCCGTCTGCCGCCCTGGAATATGTGCGCTTGAGAAGACCACGCGTGTTGCTCGCCCCATCGCAGTGGGAGGTAAAAGAACTCCTCAAACTTAAAATTGTTTAGATCATAAGCTTGTGGAAAGCCATACAGTTTTTAGTCTGTTGATTGAGCAATTCAATAGCCAAGTCGTATTGTTCTCTGATAACGTAACGACTTAAGCCCACTGCTAGTAGATATTGTCTTCTTTGGGCTTTCCCTTTCGAGCTTCCCCTCAAGGTTTTTAAAACGTGTCGACTAGGGAGAGGTTTTCACACTCTTACAAAGGGTGTTTCGTTCTCCTCCCCAATTGATGTGGGATCTCACAGACAAGCTTTGCCTCATCATGGGTTTCTTTTGTGGTATTACAACATGCAGGCTGTTCAAGAATACAGCAACTGTCGTCCAGCTACGAGTTCCAGCTCACCCTCAGGAGGAGATGCGGTGCTCATTACGAAAGACGATCTAGAAGGATATCATGGTACGTGCATCGACGGTGCGGGTAGACAACTTGCAGTTGTCCCTAGGATGGGTAAGTCAAAGCCAATGATAGCAAGGTTGTCCTGCCTCTTCTCCTCGTTGATAGTTCATGGCAGTAGTGGATCTCTCATTAAGCGTCTGCCCGTGTCGGAGGCTCGTGCTTGTTGATGACCAACTTACATCACAGCACACCACCTGCTCGCTCTTGTTTAGAAGCGTCAAGGAAGTAAGAAACAGAATCAAACAAACGATGTTCGTCAAAGCACATAGAACACGAAACTACAATTAGGTTGTACATAACTGGTACGTCGAAATTTCCCTTCCCTTGAATTATCTTATGAAGAAAACCATAATTAGGTTTTTGCTGATGGAAAATATTAAGCTTGTTGGGTATGGAGTCGAACGTGGTAACGACCGTACTTAGGTTGTATACCGATGTCCTTTGGTTCGATGGAGTCGAAAATGTAAACCACAATCAATGTCAAGGAGAAAGCAAGTTCTTTCAATTGGGTTAAAACTTTGTGAATGAATGGAGCCTACTTGACCAACTATTGTGGTTTGGTAACGCGTCTCTATCCAAAATTACTCCTTTAGATATCATTAGTGTATTGGATAGTTGCATTTAAAGGTGATGAAGTTGGTCGATTGGGCTACTGTTAAGCCACAATCATGTTTTAGTTGATCTGTTTAATCTAGTTTGGTATAAATTAAGCTCGTTTATAGGTTTAATGACCCTGAACTAAAAACTATTAGAATCGAACCTAAATTTGAGATAAAGCTAGCCTAATCAAAATAAATGCTAAGTAGAAACGGAGTCGAAGCTAAACCAAGTCGTATTACGTTTTAATGAAGTGTAATGCGTTGATCAAACAAAATCATTATGGCTGAAATGAACAATCATGTGTTGAATCGAACAAAATCATAACGTTTTAATTGAATTGTAATGTGGTAAGTGGAAACACAATACCTTAAATTGATCAATGAAATTGCACGTCCAATTGGCGATAGAGGTCACATCTTCTTCAACGAGCTCGGGTGATGCTTGCAACAAACTGAAATGCGGGTATGATTTCTATGAGCGAAAACAATAGCAAATTCAAGACAAGATGCAACGACAATGACCTAAAGACAGTATACGGTGGTATAATGAATAAAGGGATTAAATGAGCATTAGGAAACCTAAGACCAACGAGTCCACCTTGCCTCATGGACATCTCTATTTGACACGAAAAGGAAATCATTGGTGGAACAATTAAAGCTTGTGGGAAGTGCGATGTGATTTGTGAAGAAGAGACAAATGTGACGTGATTTTCTGGTACCAAAGCTATTCAAAAAGTCTCTAACTTCTATTGATGTCAGTACTGAAGACATCAACCGATGTTATTTCTTGATGTCCACGAGGGAGGTTTCTGTCGATAATAGGTTTTGTATTACATTAGCCTATTTTATCATCAACGAAACGTAGACCAACCAATCTTTGTTAACACTTTTGCCGACGATTGTTTTTCATCAAAAAAACCTTTCTCAACATTTTTTCTTTTTACATTTCTCTTTGGCATAAAAAAAAAAAAGAATCCAAATTATACCATACCTTAATTATGAGCTTCCAAAAAGTTACATGAATGGTTTTAGATTAAAGATCAACATTTTGTTCTAATATCGTCAAACATACCTCAACTTCCTTAAACAAACATGAAAAACGAGATTCGAGATAGAAACGAGAATTACTTACATCCTACTCAATTCGGACTTAAAGATAAAGATTGTCTGCGTCCCATTTTTGATACCCGATCTTCATGTTCTACCTCTCCATTATACTTAGGGCCTAAGTAAAGTACTTTACAAGATGTATTGTCTACATACATACATATATATATATATATATATATTTAACATCTCTCATATCTTATAAGAAATTTAATAAAAAAAAAACATAGAGAATAAATAGATTATGATTGGTCATTAAAAAAAATAAATGCAAAAAGGGAAAGGGGTCTATGGCACTATGGAAGAATCCAATAAAAGGTTGAGTTTGGCCATGTTGTGATATTCCTCTTTGCACTAATATAATTCTTTCTGCAACTTCTTTTTGGGACCAAATCTGCAAACCAAAAAGATAGCCCTAACCCTAATATTATATCTTTACAATCTTTCCAAACCTATCGTCTCTCTAGGATCTTCTTCTCTCCGTAACCCTAGCAGCACGGAAACGGTAGAAAATGACCTGTAACAACCCAAACCCACTGCTAGCAAATATTGTACCATTCGGGTTTTCCACTTTCCAACCTATGTGGGATCTCACAGGCCAATCAGATAACATTGTTAAGCTTAAAACGTGACGTTTATCTACCATGATCGCTCATACTCTAAAGAAATCCCAAGTACACACCTTGATATCTTGAACCATTAAGTCAGCTAACTCGTGGAGATTCACTCTATCTTCTTAACACTTCGTGTTAGCGTTAAACTAAGCTAAATTCAAATTTCTCGCCAATGTACCTAACTTTATAATCGACCCGAAAACCGAAGTTATAAGGAGGGAGAGAGAGAGATTTGGAAGATGATGAGCTCATTATGTAATGTCATTTTCAAATCCAAAAGCTTCTCTCATTCATAATTGTCTTTGTTCTTCCATTTCTATTATATTAATTCCATGCATGTCCTTCAGAATCAAAAAGAACCCAACATGCACCACGTTACTCTCTCTCTCTCTCTCTCTCTCTCTCTCTCTCTATATATATATATATGTATATACAAATTGAGAGAGAGAAACATACACTGCATCATATCTAATTATATATGAATTCCTTCAAAAATGAAATAAAGTTGGAATCTAGAATAGAATAAAGTAAAAAAGGAAGTAAAATGAGTGTCTTAAGCTACCAAAAAACACGAAATTAGCTGACATTAAGTATGAAACTCCATGCCATTCTTATACGAACAGAAAGATCCTCAAATAAAATTCCAATAAGAAGAAAAAAAATCGATATCTCGAACAAAAAAAACGACGTATCGAGGCCTACCAACATGCATATAGACATAAATCTGCACCTCAAACACATAAACTCTTTTAAAGGCTGAGTCATGGTTGGATGAGAAAGAATAAAAGGGGAAATATAAAGCACATTCTATGATATGGAGAGCCACTATGAGTGATTTCCCATTGACATGTCTAAAGTTAATTTACTTTTTTCAAAACGAAAATATGTAGATTATAACAATCACATTATTCCCACAAACTTGAATAATGCGTAAGCTGTAAAAAAAAGGTTAAAAAAACACTTTTTCCACAAAATTTTTGTCTACACAAGCTCACCGCTAGTAGATATTGTTTGCTTTGGCCTATTACGTATCGTCGTTAGCCTAACAGTTTTAAGATAAAACCGCATCTACTATGGAGAGGGTCTAGCCCTACTCCGACCAGTGCCTCACACTGTTCGGTGACTGGCTATGATACCATTTGTAACAACCCAAGTCTATCACTAGTTCTAGTAGATATTGTCCGTTTTGGCCTATTACATATCGCTTTCAACCTCACATTTTTAAGGAGAGATTTCCACACCCTTATAAGGAATGTTTCGTTGTATCTCCAACCGACATGGGATCTCACAATTCACCTCCCTCGGGAACCTAGCGTCTTTGCTGGCACATCGCCCAGTGTCTGGCTTTGATACCATTTGTAACAACCCAATCCCACCGCTAGCAGATTACGTATCGTCGTCAAACTCACGGTATTAGAACACTTCTACTAGAGCCTTATAAGAAATGTTTCGTTACCCTCTCCAACCAATCTGGGGTCTCCATAATCCACCCCCTTGGAGGCCCAGCGTCCTCGCTAGCACACCGTTGGATGTCTAACTCTGATACCATTTGTAACAACAGCTCAAGCCCACCGCTAACAGATATTGTCCGTGTTGTCCATATTGTCCGTTTTGTCCCGTTATGTATCACCGTCAAACTCACAGTTTTAAAACGCGTCTGATAGAGAGAGGTTTTCACACCCTATAAGTAATGCTTCGTTCCCCTCTCCAACCGAGGTAAGATTTCATAAAAATGGTTTTCTCGAGCTTAGAATATCAAACATGTTGGTTAACATATGCTTTCTAAACCTCCGAGTTAAAGACGTCAAACTTGTGCCCGCCCTAAGAAATTAAACGACAATAGTGTAGAGAGGGCGGGAAAGAGAATGATTGGAATATAAAGGTTTTGAAAGAGAAGCAACCACACAGTTGGTTCCCTTTTGAAAAGGATGAAAGTAAGTAATACAATAGCAATTAGTAGTAGGAGCATGCAGCATCTTAATTTTCTCCAAAGTGCTCATAAAGTTGAAGATACATACAAAAACAAAAATTCAATCTTTACCTGTAATTGCATATCAACTTTCCTAACAACACAAACAATCAGTGATAATAGAAGCTCAAGCTCAATGGGATAGAAACGCTTATCAATTTCTGGTGTATTTCTGTGTAAATTCCAAAAAAAGAAACAACATAAAAACATGAACTGTACAAGAATTTCAAAACAAAAAAACAGAAAAAAAAGAAGAAAAAAAAAACAATCAAAATTAAAGAAAGAATAAGTGATGAAGAAGATGATACTGTAATGATAACGGTGGTGATTTTGATGCCTCTGACTGCATTTTTCTTGCTTTCATTCACCCTTTTCCTTCCAAAGCTGCACCCTTTTTTTTTCTTCTTTTTCTTTTTTCCCCCCTTTTCTTTTCCAGCATGGAATTTGTTTAATAAAAAAGAAGACAAAGAAATGGGATTATTTTGTTTCCAAGAGAAATCGAAGAGAGAAGCTTGGGAGGAGTAATAATGTTGTCTGTCTGTCTGTCTGTCTGTCTGTCTGTCTGTCTCTTCAAGGAAGAAGAAACTTCTTGGGTGTTTTGTTTTGTGTTGTGTTTCGTGTTTTGTGTTTTGTTTTTTGGTCCTTTTTTGGTTCTATCAATGATGATTTGGGTTGTCAGGGTCAGGCCAGAAAGGCGAGTACTTCATCCATTCTGCTGCTTCTTGAGCGTTGCTTCCCATGGTTGACTCCTACATCATAAACCATGCACAAATATTAGGGTTTACTTTCCCTTACGTTCTCGTGTTGTTCGTATCGATAATTATGATAATTATTCATCGTATCGATACAATACAAAACTTATGGCATTAAAAATTTTGAACACAAAAAAGCAGAATAAGTTTCATTCCAAATTAAATGAAGCAGAATATATTCTGTTGTCTGAATCATTTTGAGCTTTGCTTTTTCCATAATCATAAAATAAACACTAACACTTTGATTCTGAGAAGAAAACTATAATAAAAGAAAGAGATAAAGAAGGGAGAGTATCACTGTTTCCTTACTCTTTAATTCAAAATTATACCAATAAAGAATTTCCATTTCTTTCCTTTTTCTTGTTTTTATTCATCTCCCTTTTACATAAATATTCCTTCCGAGTTTAGTTCCTAAATTTTTAAAACTTAGCTTAATAACCCGTCAAAGTTCTCTATTTATAAATTTGTTAGACACAAAATTAAAATTTTAGACGTGAAAGGGTTCGTAAAATTGACTCACTTCTTTGATATTAGAGGAAGTGCAGCCCATTATGAGTTCTTCCAAACCAGAAGCAGACCTCCCTCCTAGCTTATGATGATGTTGTTGCTGTTGCTGTAAAGAAAACCCATCATCTTGAATGACTTTTTTTTTTTTTTTTTTAATAAAACTTTCTTTTCTCAAAGCTTATAATATTCCAAAGTGAAAAGAGTTCGTACGATATGCCAAATCTTTCACTAAAACAAAATTAGTTACCTGAAAGCTTTCGTTTTGCAGTATCAATGGAGAAACACGGTACGAGTCATGGTCGAGAATGATCGAGGAATGGTGGAGAGGAGGCGGGCAGATGATTGTCGAGATTGGGTTTGAAGGTCGGGTGATTTGAAATGCAGTTGTCGCCATTGGATGGTGATGCTGCCGTTGAAGGTGGTGGTGACGGTGGTGGTCTCCGATGTCCTCAGTCGGGGCGGATTCTCTCGTCGTTGAAGCTTCTCCAATGCCAACCTGTGGAAGATATAGAACAAACTAGTTAAATTACAAACTTTTGGTAATTTAGATGATAATTATAATAATGTTCCCTAAATCTCTAATTAGGCCCATGAAATTATGCTGCAAATGCAAGCAAAATGAGGTATGACAAAACCTAATTTTAAATTATGATTGATTTAATCATAAATATATTTATTTGTCCTAATTAGCTTATTCTTTCTAAATTGCATTTACACCCCTAGACTACAAAGAATACAAAAAATGGACTATTCCCTTCTTTGCATGGAATCAAAAATTACACGAACCTCATCGAAGTTTCTCCTGAAGGAACCAAACCCAAAATGATCGGCTTTGAATTGTTGAATGTGATCCAATCCGCCGTAAGTGACGGCGATATGTGGCGGAGGACAAAGACCGCCACTGCCGCCCACGGGAGACATTTCGTCTCTCGGGGTCGCCATTTCCCGAGAAGAAGAACAACTCCCGCTCCCACTCTCCCTCCTACTACTAAGAACAACATTGTCGCCAGTAACCTCTCCGATGCCGCCGCCGCCGCCCTTCTCGGCCGACGACCAGTTGCACTGACGTGGCTGTGTCTGATAAAATATCTTAGAAACGACAAGCTCGCCTTCTTTCTCCTCCTCGTGTTGGCCCAAATGGTATTGGTGCATGACCCAGTTGGTTTTTTCGGGTTTTCGATTTTTTCCGAAGTTGGTGTAAAGTACGAGGATTTTCTTGCAGCCCTTTTGGCGGCCGCTGGCCATAACCGGTCGTGTTTTGCCGGTCTTATGCCACCGTGTTTCGCCGCCGCCTTGGAAGTCGCATTCCGTTTGGATTTTTCTTCGCTTTCTTGTTCCTGTCGTGTAGGCTTTTGATGGCCTGTGGAAGAAATGCCTACTCAACCCATCTCTTGTAACTCCTGCACCAACAAACCAAATTATTCATTTTAAAATTAAAAAGATTGGATTTTTTTTTTTTTTTTTTTAATTGGGACAAGAATTTAGCAAAATTCCAAGTTGGTTGGCTTAGGTGCAACCATAATGCAAAATGGGTTTCCCTCTAAAGTCATATCCAACTTGAAAGGAAGAACAAAAGAACAAAAAAAACAAAAAATCCTAGCTGAATTGGATACATATATAAGCAAACATAATTTCCCTCTTTTTAAAAATTAAAAAACAAAAACAATAATAATAAATTTGACTAAAAATATTCCTGTTTATCCAAATTGTTTTTTCATTTGATAGAGAGAAAAAGAATTACCAGGAAGCTTTTCAGGGTGAGTATAGCAAATCCCATCTTCACCTTCAATTGTAGGAATGAACTCATCGATCAAAGGGTGAGATTTGATATCATTTTTAGCTTCAACTTTAGCTTCAAGGTGTTCTATCAGTTCTTGGTCTGTCGGGTCAAATTTCACTCCTGCTGGTAGACCTAACCAATCCTGCACACTCCATTCCAAAATCTCCCAACTAAATCCCACCTAAACCCAAAAGAAGTATTGTTTTTACGAAAGTAAAAGTAAAAGGTGTTGTGTTTTTTTTTTTACCGGCTTGGCTTCAAGCTTGTGTCCGCACCCTGGGCACTGCTTTGATCCGCACTTTTGATGCTCCTCAAGCTTCGCATCTATGAGATCAGAGCTGGTGATGCTCCCTAAACTGCTCTTCATGCTCAAACCCTTTGATATTCTTCTTTGAACGCCGTCGTTTTAGAAGCTCCTCCTTCTTCTTCTTCTATCATTCAAGCTTGATATCAACTTGGTATTGTGAATTCTCATCACTGTAAACAAAAAGGAGCCAGCTTCTGAAACCCCAGTGATTGAATTTGAAATCTAAGAACTGGGTTTTGTTCAAAATAGAAAGAGGAAGAAGGGAAAGCTTCAATTTTGTTGAAACCCACAGAGAGGAGAAGATAAAAGCTATATACTTACTTACTTACTTACTTACCCTAAATAAAGAAAGAAAGAAAGAAAGAAAGAAGAAGAAACTGTGGATTTGGGTTTGGAGAGAGCTATAAGGTTTGCTTTAACAACAGAAAGAAGAAGAAGAGAAACAAACCAGAATTTGGTCTTAACTTTAACTGAAGAGAGAGAGAGAGAGAGAGAGAGAGAGAGAGAGAGAAGGGAAAAGAAAAAGGTGAGCCTCAAAACCTACACAGAAGCTTTAAGGGTTTGGGGAAATTTAGAACAAAATGATATCATAATATCTAATGATATCATATGTAGGCGGTTTGTGGGAAAAGAGAGAGAGAGAGAGAGAGAGAGATTTTTGTAAAGGCTCAAGGAGCTGATCTCTGCCTGCTGCCTTGTTTGTTTCTTTTGCTTCAACCCTTGACTACAAAAGCAAAAGGCAAAAATAAAAACAAAAACAAAAACGGCCTTCTTTCACAGCTGTTAATCTCTTAGGCCCAATTCCTAAGGCTTTCGAATATTTCACTCCATCCATCCTATCTTTTCGTTTTGTTTTAGCCCACACCCACTTCTCCATTTTCACACACAACCCACTGTCTCTCCTTTCTTTCACTAATTTAATTTAAAAAGAAATCAACGGTTAAAAAGTTCAATCTCTGTTGTCTGAACTAAACTTAAACTTAAACCTAGTTTGGTTTGGTTAGGTTGAGAGGGTAGAAGTGATAGGTTTTGGACATGGCAAAATCTTTGAGTACAAACTCAGATCCTAGAGAAAAAAATTTAAGCACCCACCTCTTGTTTTTGCTTTTCTTTTTTTCTATGTACTTTTTTTTATACATTTTTTGCATGACTGTTTCACTTTCGAGCCTAAGTTTCTTCATGAGGAAATGCTAGAGAGAGAAACTCACATGGGTATCGAGCTGAGGTGCTGGGGTCATTATGCTTTTAGCCATGAATGTTGCTGAGAGAGAGAGAGAGAGAGAGAGATTAGAAGGAGGTTGCTTGATATGCAAGGCAAATGAGCAGTATATTTGATGGACCACCACCACCCCTTTCAATTACATGTTTAAATAATCATATAAATATAATTAATCACATAACAAAGTCTTCATTCTCTCTCTCCAGATTGGAGTTAATGAATTAGGGTTTACAAAAGAAAAAAAACTGTGGACACGGAAATAAAAAGGGTGTGGAGCCCAGAGGGAATGACGTGATCTAAAATTGGGAAATCTTGTGGCCCACAAAAGCAATTTGATCAGATGATGGTTAGTCTTCACGTTTATGACATACTTCCTTTGATCAGTCAAGAAGCAAATCATGATGAAGCTTCTTAACTATGATGTGTTCCCCCAGCAGATTTCTGACCATGCTTCTTCATTTTGTCTCTCAACCCCTTTGCTTTTCTTTCCTTTTCTCTTTTCTTTATTTATAAATAAAAAAAAAAAAAAACTATCTCGGTGTTCTTTGTTTGTCTACTACTCTTTATATTCGACATCTTTTGACTCAAATACGTCACGCTCGAATCAATTTAGTGTTTGATTCTACACTTTTAAACGTGATTTTTACCATTTCTAAATCCCTCTCAACTATTGTTTAAACCATGATCTCTCTTCAACATACCTCTATCTACTCGGTTTAAAAACTAAGGATAGGGTGAGTTTACTCAGCCACTCTCTCTGTGGTCAATAAATAATTTGTATCCTTACCAGAAGAATAACAATATTAAGAAAGTTTGAACGCTAGTTAAAGTTCGCTCTTGTTCACTCTGTATAGGGAATTGTTCTTGGTAACTATATAAATGTAAAACATGAAGGATAAAGGGGAAAAAATGAAAGTTTCCTATAATAGATTTGCCCGAAATAAATCATTGATGTCACATTTATTATAACAACTAAATACACCTAGGTGTGAATGAAAGTATGTCTCAAGTACCTGGTTTGAAAGTTTAAACGAGAAGGTCATTCTTTTTCGTGCAAGAACAACCAAGCCTTTTCTATCCATAAGAGTAAACTTGCATTTCTTGGTGAGCCAAAGTGCTTCGTTCCTGTAATCTAAATCATATTTTAAAGCTAGGAAACTTCATGTCATCCTATTGCCACTTATCTTTTCAATACGTTAAATGTTCTTTTGATGAAACAAATATGAGCTTAAATTTAGCAACTTAGAATCAACAAGCCACTTGACTATTGTGAAACAAATCTGAATGTATAAGAAAAAATGCAAGAAAAGAAGACAAATGCAAAAGCTAGAACTCTTGCTACAACTGGCATTATAACCTAAGGTCTGAAAAAAGCCACCAATGTTCCTATTCCTATCTTGGGTAACACTAACCCTATTCTCTTACATTTGGTTTCTTTTTTGCTTTCTACGAATTTTCTTTTGTTTCATTTGTTGTATTTATATACATGCATTAGTTTCATCTCTTTTAACACTTCTTTTCAAAATAAAATTAAAGCATAACTAAGAACTTAGGTGACATCACAACATCACATTAAAGTCATTCTACATTTATATACAACTGTATACAACATCCCGACAGCACATAATTTTTACATGGGTATCGTATCACATCATTGTTTCTTGTCACAACCTAATCTAATTAATTTACTTGGAAACTGAATTAATATGTTTATAATAAAAAGATATATAAAACAAAGGTATAAAGACCTAAACATGTGGGGACCAAGAATAATAATGTAAACTAAATATATATAAATGAATGGAAACCACGAAACTATCTTTAAACATAAATTACCGGAAATGAGTAGAGCAGTATATATTCTCCGTAAAGATCTAAGTGGATTATACCCTATTCATATATGGCTAGTCACATTATCCATTTATGGTTGACATTGACTAATCAAGCAGTGGACCCACATCACATTGGCTTTCTCACACCAGGCATATATACTTTCTTATTGGGATATGAATCATATAATTTTATAGAGACCATAATATCACATATATGGTTTAATACGTATATTGTATATTCCCGAGTAATGGAAGAAACAAATGTGACAAAAGAAGTTAACTAAAGTATAGTTCAATTAATTAAGGTATCAAATCTATCATGCAAAAAGTCAAATATTTAAATTCTTCTATTTGTTAAACTTAAAATGGCAACTTAATGAGAGATATAGAACTATTTTTAGGCAAAGTTTGCAAATTATTAGATTTGCTGTTGACATGTGTGTAGGCAGAAAATGAAACAATGAATATGAAGAATAATAATATAATTAGTAGTTTTAGATTATGCATTAATCATATCCATCATCTTGAAGTTAGATGTTGGAGGCATCTTTCTGAAGAAATATACACATTTTCAAGCAATTCGTACAGGTACCTTTGGAGAATAATACCTCGTATGTATCCAACCAATCCTTTAGCAGAGATCTGAGTAACTGAATTAAAAAAGAAATGAAAAGAAAAAAAAAGAAAGGAAAAGAAGAAAAGCTCTGAATAACGAATAAACGTTGCACTAAACTCAAATCTTGTGCCACAAAGTTGCAATTTCTCTAAAGTTAATGGTATGTGTCTAAAAGCATATCTAAAATTGACCGTTCAAACTAACAAAGTAGGTCCCCAGCTTACTCTAACTATACTTTTTTTTAAAAAAAAAAACTGACGTAATTTAAAGCTCAAAAGCTCACGCATGTGTTGCAAATAACACTTTATTGTTGAGATATTCAAAAAAAAAAAAAAAAACAAAAACTTAGATTGTTGCTCGAGACATGGAAAATTACAATGTTCAGTAAGAATATTTTTCCAAAATACAAACGTCCTGAAATTGCTTTCAGAACATGAACTTTCTTCAAGATAAAACTGTTTTAACTGAAAATACATCACTATTAGATAGAAGGAATAAAACATGGCATCAACAGAGATCAGGTATTAACAAAAAGGTGCTTGCTCAAATGTACTAATTATTGAGAAAGATAAACTGGACCTTAATGCTTTTCCTTGTTTTCAGAAGTCAGAGTGACCGTACAAGGCTTGAAGACAGCAATTCCTATGTTCGATGCTAGTCTGCCAGACTAGTTTGATTCAAAAGAAGCGATTGGTCACTTTGACTTAAACTTGCTGCTGACAGAATCATAGCTCGGAACATGACTAACTGCAGAACAGTATATAAATAAATAGTTATATCGCGAGCTAATAAAACAGTTCTTTTTTCCGGGAGGAAGCAAGATAAACTGATATCATGAGGTTCTAATTGAGCATGATAAGTAGGCGATTGTCAATGGAGAAGAGAGAAGTTTTTGTGCAATTGAAGCTATATCCTCCAGAGTTACAGCGTCCGCAGCTTTCAAGAAATGTTCCACGGATTTCCTGGATAATGGGATACATTATATATTTAAGACATAACAAATGATCATTAAAAATGAGCATGCGTGGCTTGAAGACAGATCACTGGTGTAACTACAAAGCTTACCTCAAAATTCAAAGATAATCACTTCACATTATATTTGCAACTTCTAACAGATCTTAAGAAATTAACACTCTTAACTAAGGCCAGAATCCCTGGAGTGTAAGTGCGTAACCAGGAGGCATGATATATATCATTTAGAAAATGTGAACAAATGATCATGTAACAGAATGCAGTTCAATGAGGGAAAACAGCATAACTGAATCTCAGATCTTTGAAATAGATTTACCCTCCTAGTACAAGAGAAATGAATTAGAAATGAATGGGCCATGGTGCATCAGATTAAGACTACAATAAATGATTTAGACCGTACCCTTCACCATATGTCAAAGTCCTCTGAAGCAACCACCTACAAGATACAATTCCACAACCACAATCAGTGGACACATTCTCAAAGATTAACATTTTAAAAAACTGTATTATTTTTATTTCATCAACCTAAGATCCAGGCATGGTAAGGCCAACGAGAAGAAAGTACAATGATACATACCCTGGATTCCAAATTCATTAGCACAGATGAGTTTATTGACTATTTGGCACGATCTAGCTGCCCCTGTTCAACTGTAAACAGGGAAATGTTATCAGTGATCTAGATAAAATGGTTCTTGCGGAAATGCTAGAGAAGAGAGAATCACAAATGACCTTTTCAGGCGTTGCAATGGCTAACAGTTCACTAGCTGCAATATCGAAGGCTTTTGGCACGAAATTAGAACCCTCAAAAAAGTATATCATCAACCAAACAATTCTACCATCAAGATCAACATAGTGATTCTGCATTATATCATGTTAAATATCAATCCAAAGAGAATCATTACAGTAGTTGCTTGGATGCCAAATATGCCAGTGTTATTGTAAATACTGCTGAATGCTGAAATCGATTGAAACTGTGGATACTCATTTAAGACCTGAAGATATGCTTACCACATTGATAATTACAAAGAAGTTAACACTAGAAAACATACAATATGCGTAAATTAAGAAATATACATGCAGAAGAAGGTTATGTCTGTCTAGAAATAATTGCATAACAAACTATCGATATGACCTGACTTGGCAGGCGTGAGGACAATATTTTCTCATGCAAGTATAGGAAATATAAATTCCTCCCTTCAAACCCCACCCCCACCGCCCAAGAAAAGAAAAATATCTCAGATGCATGGCCGTCAAAGTCAAAGAAATTTAGGACTTACACGGCCGAGAGCTCATCCCCTTTCCAGGTCCACCAGCTGAAAAAGACCCTCCACCTCCCTTCAAACCCCACCCCAAGAAAAGAAAAATATCTCAGATGCATGACCGTCAAAGTCAAAGAAATTTAGGACTTTCACAGCCGAGAGCTCATCCCCTTTCCAGGTCCACCAGCTGAAAAGGACCCTCCACCTCCCAGAAGCATCTGAGAGATGAGATACATTATTGCCTTTGTCTTTTCACAGTGATAAATTGCAAAATGGACTAAACAACTAATGGTTGTATGATCTAAACCCCATGTCATAAAAATCACTTAAGCACAATAGATATCCATTGTTAAGACCTGAAGAACAGTTGAGGCCATAGCATCCTTCTCCTTATGCCAGCCGCCTGGGAGTTCCTGAAAGAGAACAGTTAACGAATGATGCCTGGAAATGAAAACTGGATGCTAGAGTATACAATATAAGATGATACACACCCCAGTATCACCTTGATGACGATAATCGCCCCCATTGTACACTGACTTTGGCACCTCACGAGGAACACTTCGAAGGTCAGATAGAAGTGGTTCAGCAATGGATAAGAGTTCCTCGTGTTCAACGCCAGATACTGCAAGTACTATCCGAGCTGCAGTATAATTTTCCTAAAGGCAGAAGCATGACCAATAAATAAATAACATCATCAAATAAATATGATATTATAATCTCCTACTCAACTTACAGAAACAAATTTCTCCAAAACTGTACCACTCAGACTATTTATAGCAGACTCGGGGGCTAAAAGAGAATTTGCCAAGGCACCAAAATAACCAACAGCATGTTAATAAATGAACGTAATTCATCATTAATTATATGGGTGCACATGGACTGGTTTTGAAAAACCAAATCTGTGGGTGCACATGGGTGCACCGGTGATGTTTCTGATGCTACTCTTACACCATTTGGAAGAGTTGAGATTTTCGTCTTACTAGATTCAACATAATCTGGCAATGGAGACGGAAGATTCACATCTGACAGGGGAAAGTCTAGTGGAGATGATATAGAACGGTCTCGAAGCAACCAGCCAAAGAGACCCCCAGAAGATTTGTACTTTTGAGGCAACAGCACTAGAGCTGGAAAATCTATACAGCCCATTGTTTCATGTTCGAAAGCAAAATTATCATCATTATCCATCGAAGCATTTAATTCCCGAGGTCTTGTGTAGATGTCAATATCATATTTCAAGCCATGTTAACTCAAAAGCTCAATACACAAGCACGTCTCTGCAAAGATCTTAATACCATGCACAGTACTCGAAGAATTATAACTATTGTTCATGTTTCCACTAATTTAAACAATGACAAAGACGAGCACTTATACAAATATTAACCGAATCGCCGTTCAGAATCAACCAACAAGAATTGAATAGTTACAAATAGCCGATATATTATTAACACTCGAGATATAAAAAGTCACTACAATTAAATCAATAACCTAGCAGCTCAACATCGACGCTGTTATGTTTCACCACAGAGAATACAAACACTCACTCCAGCTCCAATCTGGTTTCTTAAAAATTACAATTCGACGAAACAAACTGTAAATCACGACGTTCACTTCGAGAAAGCAGAAAAACTTCCAGAAAATGGAATTCAGATCCATAACAAAAGAAACTCACAATTAAAAGCCAAATCATCGAGAACGATCACATGCGATATACCTTTCGATTGCGTTCAAATGCGCGTTTGGAACAAAATGTGAATAAAAATCAAGTTTACTAACCATTAGAGACCTGATTCGTGAAGCTGCAGCTCTGTACATGACGATCGAACAAAGTACTCTGAAAAGCGCTTGGTAATCGAGCGCCAAATGGCAAGTATGCCCAAAGTTGTGGAATTCGCGCGAATGCAGAACAGGAAATTGTGATGCGGTATGTTCACACGTGCGTACCTCAAAATCTATCACTTGTATTTATCGATCAAAAAACTTCAATTACCTATTTATAGGCTTAGGAGTAATTTTAAAGTAGTCAAAATATTTAATTTAATATGTTAAAATCATTTTAATATTTTAATATTTGGTTGTATATTTTAAAATGTGCTTCAAAATTATATTCAAACACGTTCTGCAAGACAATATTAAATTATAAGTTGAACTAATGTTTTTTCTTATATATTTAATATTTTTTAAAATAAATAGATTTGATATATAATAAAAAAGAACTTCTACCATAAATCAACTCATTAAAATATATATCGAGGATACATAAATTTTAAACTATAAAATTTGTCAAAAAAAAAAAAAACAAATTTCAAGCCTATTTGGCGTAAAATTAAAACTTTGAAGAGGACGACGAGCCCCTTATACAAGGCCTTTGAATTTCCCGTCATGCCTTATACCTTATGCACTTCGATGAATAAAGTGTTTCATGGATCCCTAGATAGTTTGTGGTTGCAACCCGATCATAGGAAACATAAAATTCTTTTGGTTCGAAAGATGGTAAGATTGAAATCATACAAGATGAAAAAGTGTAAACTTCAATCATCGATGATCGTGTTGAAGAAGAATCATAGTTGGAGTTCAACTCCAAAGCGTCAAGGTACCTTTAAAGAGTTCGGAAGGTAATGATGGACCCGAGATTGTGGATGTGACCAAATCAGATTTCAAGTAGAGACCGACGCATAGGTCTCCTTCAAGATGGTAATTCCATGCATATGAGTCGAAAGTAAAACGACACAAAAGGCAATATCTTTTAGGTCTATAAACTCATAGCCAACCTCCACCCACATGCACAAAATCAAAGACTTACGCTCGGTAGGTTTCATTTTTCGGCCAGCCCTGCAAGTCGGGCTCGACAAGCAGTTTTTGCTGCAGCTAAACCGCCCCCGAGCAAAAACCATCAGCTGAATGTTACTCAAAAACCATCACAAAGTTGAATGTAAATACCATTTTTGCAAGACTCCCAAGACTCCGATACATGAACACCAGAAACTCAGGGAAGTTATCAGTTATGTTCTACAAAGAATGCTAGAAATCACAGTAACTACCAAAAAAATTCAAACCATATATATCGTTCTTACGAGCAATACCGTCTCGTAAACCCGGTTCGTCAGCCAGTTTCTTCAGGCAAAAGTGGAAACAAAACTGTCTAACAATCTATAAAATTAAAGCTTCCATTCTTGCAGAGCTCTGAAAAACACAAATATTCAGCATCGAAAATGGGAACAAAGATGACAACGGTAGACGAATTCATAAGGTTATATGGTAATAATACATTTGAGACTCATCTAACAACCATTGAAGCGGGACACGCTATAATATGTACAAAAATACACACGGGGCGACGAAAAAATATTGGATAGAGACTAACTCAACAATTTATGTATATGTAAGGGTAAACAAAAACTATGCAAATTTTGACTAGGACCATAAGTTCCTTACCTTTGCAAACTATACTATACTATCCCTCAATACAAACAAATTAAATTATAAAAAATCAATATGATGTGTATCAATCCCATTTACCTATCAATGCATGGTTTTTCACGTCTGCCAGAACGCATCCGGGTCGTTGCTATACAATGAGAAGTCCTGAATTTCCTGATTCGCGACGTGCCAATCAACGAGTCGTGCTTGAATAATTTTGCAGAGTGCCAATCCAGCAGGAAGCACCCACCATTCACTATCATCCCTGCATTTTCGACAATTGCGACCGAAACATTTATACTTCCTCCAATGACTAGATCAGATCAGGCAGGGACAATAGGAATTGGTTTAAGTCGACTCACATGCTAAAATTCCAGGTCTGAAAGCTGGGATTTTTTCGATTTGAACGGTATAAATAATTAATTAACCCGCAAACGAAAGCAACTACCTGCACGAAACAAGAAATAGCCAAAAATAAATTCAGATCTATATCTCTGAGCTGAAATTTTAGTTAAAAATGGCGGTCGAGAATTACTCACAACATTAATCATGGATGTGATGTTCCACAGACCATATACACGTGCCAGACCTGCTGAGCGTCGAGGTCCATGACTGAATAAAGCATTAATCCCAGCAGGAAAAGGCGATAGCAGACCAAGAGGAAGGACGAAGAGAACGAGAAAAAAATAGAGAAGGGAAATGGAGTACATCTGTAACAATGTGAGCAAAACCAAGCTAAAATCTCCTAAGAGAATCATGGAGATTACCAGACCAACAAGATCCTGAGGGAACAAGACGATTGAAATCGGAGTTAGAATGGCATTATCGAAAGGTATAGCCGAATTCGAACTTCAGTAGAACAACCACCTGATGGCCAACCGGTTTAGTATTGTAGATCGTGAAAGAGAGTGGATAAGATATATCCCTCTTCTCTTTAAGAGCTTTCAGGCTCTTTGCCTGTATAATTCCACCCAATATTCGTTTCTGAACCATCTTCTGCTCGGTTATTTTTAATTGGTCAAATGGCTTCTTATCCAAAAGTCTAGGTGAACTGCACGTGTCGAGGGGAACAAATTTCAAATAAACCGTTACGTAGCAATAGAGGAAGTTAGATTCAAAATTATTACCATGACTGTCGCTCGGACAGTAATAATTTACGTTGGCCTTCAGCATATGGCTGCACGTTATCGTTCTCCAAAGCAGATAACAATAATCCAAATTGGCAATATCCAGAAGCGGTGGGCTGAAACCAGGCAAGATCGACCCTCACACTATAGGCACATAGAGTTGGATTAGCATGTGTTTCCAACCAACCAACTACATGGTCAAAAGTTTTCTTCAGGTGTCCACAACGAACTAAGCGTAGTTGAGCATTGAGTCCAGCCACAAGCCGATACCAAATTGTCGGTGGAATAGACTGAGAAATCAATTGTTTATAATCGTATTGAATAGCTTATCGAAATGAATGAATTCTCAACTATAAGTCGATATAATTGACAAACCTGGCCCATTAACGAGGTCAGAATATTATCACTGTGTAGAGTGAAAGGAGCCATGTAACTTCCATCTCCCCCGAAGATTACAGAGACCGGTAATCTTTGTTGAAGACGAGGAAGATCAACTCTCTTTTCATCTCCACCGAGGAAGAAATCCACATATGCAAGCATTAAATCAGGAGTAGCAGTAACCTGAAGTAACAAGTTATTAATGAAAGAACGAGGTATAATTATTATACGTTAGATTAAAAAAATGGTATCCACTGAATTACAAAAGTAAATTATATTTGTAAAGTGTTCGCCACGAAAGTATTGCCCCGGCAAACGTTATTAATTCAGTTGTCGAACAATCCATGTCATTCAGTTGACCAGAATGAGAACGTTTTAGTTGACCTCAATGAGAGTATTATTACATACAGCTTTCCTAGCAATTATCTCAATTCATTTGATAACATAATTTGTGAACGTTTACCTTGAGACCTTCATAAAGAGCACGTGAACGGCAAGAACGCAGGCAAGAGTGATCATATTCAGAGCGAACATACTCGCGAAGACATTGCACCTTCTTTTTCCGACAGTGTTGTAGCCATGACCATGCCAGTGGATAGGAAAGAATAGAAAGAATACTGTAGATTGATCCTTCCCACCACTGATAAGTAGCTAAATCATTTATCTCATCCACAAATCTATTAAATGCATCTTCAAATCTGCCAAGTAAAACACGTTCTCAGACGATGTTCATCATACACTTGGTAACTTCGATAATACAAATTTCTGGGAAAAAGTTCGAATCAAGCAGAAATTGAACCGGTCTTCTCTAAAGAAATCTGAAGATGATGATCTCCAAAATATCATTCACCAACAAAAGAAAAGTGAGAATGCTTACACAATTTCTGCTACTTGTTCAGGAGGGGAGTGAGAAAGGTGCCACGGTTCACTGAAAGTATTCGGGCCCATGAAATACATTCTATGCACGTGACTTTTGGATTCCTCCGTTCGATTTGTTTCCAAAACCTGAAAGACAATTATATTTAAACTAACTCAAAATTCCTGTTTCCACAAGGCTATTCAAATGTTGGCAGTGGCCTAAAGAAAACGATCACTGCCAAGGAAAAAAAGTTGAAGGCACACCTCATTCAAGGACTCCAGGAAAGGAAAAGAGTAATCTATTCTAGAACCTTGTCGAACTGGAACCGTTGCTGGTAATTCTTCCCCACCAACATATTTCATACGTGCAACACTTAACACCAAGGCTAAAAGGATGAGGAGTCCAACAAGAATAAGACAAAACAACCAAGGACCTCCGAAAGCATATACCAACTCTTCTAGAGCTGTATAACATTGTGGCATGTGATATCGGTCGGAAATGCATTTGTAGGGACAAGGCCTTTCAGCAACACCACCTATTGGAAGCATTCAAAATTTTCTTTTTAGAAAAAGATAAAGCATTGTGAAAGGTTTTCTTCCAAATTTCTCACAAAAGATGAAAATTTTAGATAAAGATAACTTCCATTCCAGGCGACAACAGTCAAAGATGAAAATTTTATATAGCTTCTTTAGCCTTTAACAATCATTTAGTCCTATTTCCCAGCATATTTAGATTTATCTTTAATAGATCGGTTCTCTCTAGCAAACCAAACTATTATCTCTCCATCTTTAAATGCCCCGTGAAAGTTGTGAGCCTAGAGAAGTCTATTCCAGAACTTTTTGGAAAGGCGCATCCAAAGAAAGTGGGAGCATCCTGGTTAACTGGAAAACTACTTCTGTTCCTACTTGTAAAGAGACCTCGGGATCGGTAATTTAAAAAGAGAGAATGCAAGTTCGCATGCAAAGTGGGGGTGGAGGTTAATGAAAGAAGATGATGCTTTGAGGAAGGAGGTTATCGCCCAAAAATACTCTTTTAAGGAGATTGGATTCCAAAGCCTCGTGGGCTTAACAAAGGTTCTTGGAAATCCATCTTCAGGGCTTGTGATACAGCTGACAAATGGTATCA